AATCTGACCATTTTTCCTTCTCCCCTTTTTTTTCCTTCCTTCCTTCTTTTATTTCCTCCTACTCAGTTACAAGCCCATTTGGCAGGCCTGAGCAGGGCAGGAAGGTTGTCCAGCTGGGGCTAGAGCCCAACAAGAAGGTGTCAGGAAAGTAGCCCAATAAAGTTTAGAACCCATTCAAGGAGAGTTTTTTAAATGTGTAATGCACCAAACAACAGAGCTGCAATAGAACTGAAAAACAGAGAAATCTACAATTACACTTGGAGACTTTGGCACCTCTCTCACAACAATTGATAAAACAACTAGACAGAAAATCATCAAACATACAGAATAACTCAATAATACCATTAACCATGAGGATCTAATTGACATTTATAGAACACTCGACCTAACAACAACAGAATACATATTTTTTCAAGTGCCCATGAAACGTTCACCAAGATATCCTGAACCATAAAACAAACCACAACAAGTGTAAAACAATTAAGATCATATAGAGTGTGTTCTCCCCCTATGATGGAATAAAAGTAGAAATAAAAAACAAAAAGATACCAGGAAAATCTCTAGTACTTACAAATTAAATAATAGACTTCCAAATAACCCATGGGTCAAAGAGAAAATCTCAAGGGAATTCCAATATTATAATAATAATAATAATGATAATAATAATAATAATAATAATAATAATAGATTGAATTGAATGAAAATGAAAATACAAAACAAAATTTGGGGACAGAGTTACATTAATGTTGTACATTAGTGCTGAAAAAAATTTATAGCACTAAATGCTTACATTGGAAAAAAGAAAATATCAATAATCTGTTCCTACCTCAGGAATTTAGAAAAAGAAGAACAAAATAAACTCAAAAGAGGCAGATAAATAACAGTGATGATAACATAAGTAAATAAAATTGAAAACAAAAACAATGGAAAAAATCAATGAAACAAAGACCTGGTTATTTGAAAAGAGCAATAAGTTGACAAACCTCTACAAAGACTGACAGAGAAAGTAAGAGAGAGAGAAGACACAAATTCACAACATCAGGAATGAAACAGGGGATATCTCTACAGACCTTGCAGGCACCAAAAGCATAAGAAAGCAACATTTTCTCTATGCACATACATTTGACAACTTTGATGAAATGGATCAATTCATCAAAAAATACCAACTTATCTAATACGAAGTAGATCATTTGAATAGCCCCATAACTATTTAGGAAATTCTATTTTAAAACTCTCCAGGTCCAGAAAACTTCACTAGACAATTCTACCAAATATTTGAAAAGACTTTATTCTTCTACTTTATTACCAACTATACACAACACCTTCTGAAAAATGGAAGAGGAGGGAACACTTTCTAATTCATTTATAAAGCTAATACCTTGATACCAAAATCACACAGACAATACAAAAAGAGAAATATAGACCAATATTTCTCATGAATATAGGTGCAAAAATCCTTAAAATATTAACAAATAGAATTCAATAATATGTACCATGACCAGGTAGGATTACTATAGGGAAAACCTGTTTTGGTATTTGAAATTCAATATAATTCATTATATTACAAGGCTAAAGAAGAAAAAAATCACAGGTCAAATAATGCAGAAAACAATTATAACAAAATTCAATACCCATTCAAAATAAAAAAAAAAAACTCTCAAAAATAGGAATAGAGGGGAACTTCCTCAGCTTGATAGAAGGCATCTAATAACTTGGTAAAGAACAGCTAACCTTGTACTTGGTGTAAGGCTCTACACCAGTTTTGTGGTGAAAAGACTAAATGCTTTGGTGAAAGACTGAATTCTTTCCCCCAAACTGTAAATAAGGAAGGAGGTCTGCTTTCTCCACTCTTATTTAACATTGGAAGTTCTAGCCAGAATAATAAGGCAAGAAAAGGAAGTAAAAGGCATAAAGATCAGAAAGGAAAAATGAAACTCCTATTTGCAGATGACATAATTGTTTACACAGAAAAACCCAAGGAATCAAGGAAAAACTCCTAGAACCCACAATGAGTTCAGCAACATTGCAGGATACAAGATAAACATACAAAAATCAATTGCTCTTATATACTAGTAATGAACATGTGGACTAAAAATTAAAAGTATAGTATAATTTATAACAGCCAAAAAATGAAATATGGGACTTGTATGCTGAAAACTACTAAATGCAGATGAAAGACATAAAAGCAGATCTGAAAAATAGACATTATGAACTTTATGGCACCAAAGTTCATAAACTTTGATCAATGATATGAGGTCATTATACCTGCATTCCTTGAAATAATCAACTTTTCAAACAAAAAAACACCCCAATTTTCTTTCAAAGCCTTTTATCACGGGGGAGAAGTTTACAACAATACCTATTTTTAATAAAGTCATAATAATGAACATTTATTGCAAGAATGTTGGGCTAGGACCTGTGATTGCATCATCTCTTTTAGTTCTCACAACAACACTGTGAAGTAGCTCCTATTTTTAGCCATATTTCACATGTGAGTATCCTAAACTGCAAAGAAATTAACAAATTGCTGTGGGTCATACAGCTGGTATGATATAGAACCAGGACTCAAATCCATGTTTATCTGACTCTAAATTCCAAGCTTTTAACAATTACGCTGTACTGTCTGGAGGACTGACAAACTCCAGACTTTGAAAGCTGTCTCAGAACATCTGAACTCTACATCAACCAACACGATGACATCCTTTCAAGATATCACTGAGATGGACAGTCTTTTTTTTTAATTGAAGTATAATTGAAATAAAATATTATATTAGTTACAGGTGTACAACATAGTGTTTTGACATTATATATTTTACAACATGATCACCACATTAATTTAGTTACCATCTGTCACCATGGAAAATTATTACAATATTATTGACTATGTTTCATATGCTATACTTTACATCGAGTTACATTAATTTTATAACAGGACGTTTGTACCTTTTAATACCCTTCACATATTTTGTCCACCCTCTGGCAACCACCAGTTTATTCTCTGTATTTATTAGTCTGTTTCAGTTTTGTTTGTTCATTTGTATTTTTAGACTCTGTGTGTAAGTGAAATCATGTTGTATTTGTTTTTGGCTAACTCATTTCACTAAGTGTAATACCATCTAGGCCCATCCATGTTGTTGCAAATGGCAAGATTTCATTCTTTTGTGGTTGAGTAATATTCAATTGAGTATTACTTAATATTGAGTAGTATTGTATGTATACATACCACATCTTCTTTATGCATTCACCCACCAATAGATACTTAGGTTTTTTCCTTTATCTTAGCTATTGTAAATAATGCTACAGTGAACATAAGCATGTATATATCTCTTCAAATTGGTGTATTTGCTTTAGATAAATACCCCGAAGTGGAATTCCTGGATCGTATGGTATTTCTAATTTTAATTTTTTTGAAACCCTCCATACTGCTTTCCATAGTGGCTGCACCAATTTACATTCCCTCTAACAGTGCATGAAGTTCTCTTTTCTCCATATCCTCACCAACACTTACTATTTCCTGTTTTCTTGATACTAGTCATTGTGACTGGTGTGAGGTGGTATCTATGGTTTTGATTTACATTTCCCTGATGGTTAGTGCTGTTGAGCATTTTTTTCATGTATCTGTTGGCCATCTGCATGTCTTCTTTGGAAAAATGTCTATTCAGGTCCTCTGCCCATTTTTTAATCAGACTTTTTTTGGCATCAAGTTGTTCTTTATACATTTTGGAAATGAATCCCTTCTCAGACATATCATTTGCAAATATCATTTCCCATTCATTAGGTTGCCTTTTCATTTTTTTTTTGATGGTTTCCTTCACTGCGCAAAAAAGCTTTTGAGTTATATGTAGTCCACTTGTTTATTTTTGCTTTTGTTGCTCTTGCCTGAGGAGACAGATCCAAAAAAAAAGTATTGCTTAGATGGAAAGATAACAGTCTTTTTAGGCTTTGTCAAAGGGAAGCAGGAGAACCTCAGACAATACCAATAACAGTTATGTTTGTGTCATCATCCATTTCTTTGAAAGCCTTATCTTCACTAGAAGTCTGTACTTTCTTTTTCTGTCAGGAGAGCAAAACCACCTTACAGCATTACTAGCCCTGTGAGAAGTAAAATAGCCCTAGCTACAACTCTGAAGTACATCCCACTGCAAACTAACTCCTGGACTTTAGCACATATTTTCATAAATGCACTCTTACTTGGACCCAGCCCTCCTTCTGGAATCTGTGTTACAGCTGCTGTCAGCTTGGCCTCACTCTCCTTATGATAACAGCTGCCAGGGATGACCCCTTCCAGTGTGGGGGGGATAGGAGGAAGAGGGACTTCCCAGTAAGATTGTTTCTCCAAAGATACATTATCCTTGGCAGCTGCCAAGGACCTGTCACTTGTGAAGTCTAGACCAGGTCTCTGTGATAATCACTTCCCTTCTTGATCCTCATTCAGCAACAGAAAATGTAGAGACCTGAGCATTTTCTCATTAGAGTAAGAGCTTGTACACCTGTGCGTAAAGGTCATGAGTCATGATACTAAGAACAGCCTTTCTAAGATTCAAAAGGAGGGCAGATTTGCAGCCATCTGTAACAGCTGAAAGGGGTATTTGGGAAAACCAAATCCCTCAGCAATAACTGAGATACGTTTTCTCACATGAGCAGATCCCTATACCCAAGAGGTAACATCACTGAGTTTAAATTCTGTGGGCCATTCAGCACTTGGAAAAATCATTTTGTTAATACTGAACAATAAAATTCTCTTGGTCACTGGGAATGCAATTTAATATAGAGTCACAACTTCATAGATTTCTTTCCCCTAGGGAATATTTATAGTTTTCCAAACGTGATTTATTTCACACAAAAATCATCTTTTTAATTATATACATTCTTAGCTTATAGGAATCTTCTTTGTGTCTCAAATTCCTCGTACTGATTTGAGACAAACTTTAGTAAGAACACAAAGCAATCACTTCAGACAAGCAGTTACATTTCTGGTGTCATTCTGTCCTTTTTTTTTTTTTTTAATGGAATGTTACCCGAATTTGTATGTCATCCTTGTGCAGGGGCCGTGGTAATCTTCTCTGTATCATTCCAATTTTAGTATATGTGCTGCCAAAGTGAGCACAGGTGTCATTCTGTCTTAAAATGGATTTTTTAAAGTGAAAGGAATATTATGGAGGAGATGTTACTTAGTAGTTCTGTGTACTGGTCTTTTTAAGGCTTCACTAATACTAACAATTGGTGAGTTTGGAGATCAGAGTCAACATATCGGCTTTTACAAGTTCATAAATGTTATTAGTCCTTTGATCACACTAGTAGGCTAAACAAGAATTTTTTTTTGGTTTATTTATTTATTTACAGTGAGAAGTAACCTGCTGAGAGGACCAGGGGAATTCGTGTTATTTGCTCTCACTATGTGTCTTTCCAAGTAGAAGATCCAATTTTATAAACTGAATAAAAATCAGACATTTTTCTTTCTGAATATGTAATACAGTCAAAAGAATTAAGTAAAGTCAATGAGCTCAAGCTCTGTTGACTTCATGCATTCTCCTCTACTCAGGACCCACTGCGTTATCCATCAGAATACTCTTGGCAACCTGGCCAGGACTTAGAGAAGCCCTTACCACTGATGCTGTTTTTCCTGGACTCCACAAACCCATGGTAGTCCATTGGGATAACTTATAAGGTGTGGCTTTTCTTACATTAGCTAACTTTATAATGGCTGCTTTCTGGGGATACAGAGTAATTGTAGGGAAATGTGCTAGGAGCCATGGATGACATAGAAATATATTCATCGTGGATATTTCTTCCAAAGAGATTATAATCTAATTTGGTTGGTAAAGCCCATGCTATATAAATATTGGCTCAAAATGTCCCTCACATTTCTTAGTTCTCCATAGGATAAAAAGTAGGGTGATAATAACCATCCCCAAATTATTTCTCTGGTCACATCCCCTCCTATTTTGCCAAAGCTTTGGTTCCAGTTCCTTCTGAAGAGCCCATGATATGTTTCCCATGTGCCCTCTGGACTTCTCTTGGCTCCCACGGACACCCACATTTCCCTCCTTTCCTGTCCTTGCCCTCTGTGGTGGTATCTCCCATTGCTGTTAGCCGCCAAGAAGCCATGTGGTCAATATGTTCGGTAAAGACACTGTTCCCATCGTTGCCCACCAGGGGCAGTACAGAGGCTGCCCATGGTTGTGCCCAGTGTGTGGAGTCTGCACTCGGCCACCACCTACAGTGCCACTAACCATTTTAGTCCTCCCACTCTAGCTCAGTCCTGAGCCTATGGGACCTGGGCCAGAGGAGGGACCGTGTGGTATAGTTGAAAGTTCAAGGACTTCCACATCACAAGCCCTGGGTTGGAATACCTCCTCTGCCGTTACCTACCTGCAAGGTCCTTAAGCATTTTACTTGACTTCTCTGAGTCTCCAGATCTTGCCAAGTCTGTTATATAGAAATTAGGTTGTTCTGAGCATTGAATGGAATAATGTGAGTAAAGTGTCTAGCACAGTGGCTGGCAAATGATAAGTACAAGCAGCAGCTATTATGATGTATTCATTTAATTTATCTTAATTCCCCCATCTTCTGGGCACTGTGCTGTATGCCAGGTCTAAGAAGATGAAGAAGCTGCTGTATCAGGGAGTTTTCTGTCTAGTAATGGGGATCAGCCTGTAAATAAATAACAATGATAAAGTATTATAGTTGCTCTTTTAGAATTCTGCATGTCTGTCATTCTTATCATTATCCAAGATAAAACATGATATCCCAGAAAAGGTACAAGTGACATGCTGTGAGAATTCAGGGGAGAGCATATCCTATTCTACGTTCATTGGTTAATGAGAAATTCACTGGCACTTATCAGCATAATGTTTTTGCTGTATTTGTGTCCTTAGATTTCTTGTTTCATCACCCCACCATTTGTGTGAATGTGGAATAGTAGATCAAACCTGAAATGAATTGAATGATGGAGCATATAGGTGGATGTTTGAACTTAGTTTGATAAGTGGAGCAGCACTTCATTTTCAAAATATAAAAGAACCTATTTCCATGATGGTTTCTTTCCTGTTGATGATATTCATATCATCTGCTAAATAGAAAAGTTATAACTGGGATATACATTGGAGTAAAAGGAAAACGGATGCTGTATCCCAAATTGTGCTCCTGAATGCCATCACCGTCTAGGATCCGCCATTCATAAAAGATTAAATGTGCGGCAGGCACATATCTGAGTACATGCATGTCAGTCTTGCCATCTGTTTTAATTTTGCTTAAAATAATGAGAGCTTTTTTTTAACCCATTTACTTGAGTTTGTGCTGCTTCTTTTCATGTTCATTAGCTAGAAGTAGCCTGTGGTATTTAGCTAGTGTTTCAGAATCCCACTAAGATTAGCTTTAATTAAATTATTGGAAATGTCTTTAAAGCTGTATATTTTATTGTTGGGACTAGAATCACTAAAATATTGATACATAGACTGGGAAATATATACTGTAATTTAACATAAAAATAGCAAACAAAGGAACATTGTTAGTTTGCACAGCTCTTGTGAGTACTAAGAGCAGGTAAGCAAAATGCTTTTCTGAAGTAGGATACTTTTTATGTTGCATAAAATTTTTTGAATTATTAAAAAATTAGTAATTTCTGTGTTCAAATCTACTATCTCCTTGTTCTCTTTTTGTACAATTTTTTATCATATTACCATGTGATTACCATTTCTCTCAACCTCTAAATCCCTTTCCAACCTGCTCCTACCCCCTAAGTAAAACCTCTCTTGCCCTATACAAATTTTACCTTGTGCTGAGGCAGAAAGTAAATTAGCATGATGATAATGTAATTCATGGTAACCTGGGAATATCATCTAGATGAAAATTATAGTTGATTAAAAGCAGTAACTCCTAAATTTAAGAATTGCTCTCAGAAGTCACCATGGAAACATGAGGCCAGTATTATTGTTTTTCTTGGTAATACACAAAGAACTGTATATACTCAGCAGGTAGAAGTGATCAAATGTAACAGCCATGGCCCTGAAGATTTTATAGGGTTGACTGCTTGTCAAGATTTCAGTATGTCTGTCACTTAATACCATCAAGTGTTGTGCAATGTAGAACTTCAGCTGAATTGGCCCTCAGTCAAGTACTTTTGTTGATAGATATGTGGGACTGAATACATTTTAAGCAGTATGAAATCCAGGAGACCTGTTGCCTTCTTGTCTTAGATAGTAACTATAATGGTGATTAGGCCTCAGACTTATATGAAGACTCTCTTATAATCAAAGCTTTTGTAGATACCATTCATACTTTATTAATAAACAAATAGTGCCCCAGGAGGTAAAAAATTAAACCAACTGGCATCAAATCTAGGCATCTGACTTTCATTTAATTATCTATTGTCTCTTCTCATCTTGTATGGCATTCTTTCTCTGTTTAAGAAAAGCTTTACTTTGCAGACCATAGAGCAAATAAGAGTTCAATATGGAAAAAAACCTAAAAAGATTCACAGTCTAAGTATAGCTAAAACACCTCTGAGTCCCTAAATTCAGTTATAGTGCTTTTCTCTGATAATTTTGAGCCATATTGATGGAAATATTTGGTGACTTTGGAGACCTGCAATGTCAGGGGTGGAATGGAGGAGTAGATAATTATTAGCATGTGCAGTAACTGCAATCCCGAGGGATTTTTTTCTAGATAGTACTTAAAGAGAAAACATTCTTTACTGTTGGAGTGAAAAAGTAGCTTATTTCTTACTGTGGCACCATCTGGTGATTTTGTTTTTAATGTTACTGCATATTTATTAAGAACATACAATGTACCAGGTATGCTCACTAGAAAGTGGACTCAGCTTCATCCTAATGGACTCAGCATATATTGCTAATTGACAAAAATACAGGAAATAAACAAATGGACTGCTTTGTTGGAAATACATGGTTCTGATAAGGTGCTTTGTCTTCCCCAACCCCTAGACATGTTTCATTTCATATAGGTAAAGAAATCACAAAAATTTTAGACAGAAACAAAAAGAACTGTTATGTGGTTGTGTCAACATGGACAAGTTTCAGAAGATTATAAAGTGCTTAAGGACAAAGATCCACTCTTTTTTCAATATTATTATCTACAGTTCTTCAATTGTTCAACGTAGAACAAAAAAGAATATTTTTTAGACTGCTTCCATCCTATAGTACTGCCAGTCCTAAACAAAATATTGTCAAATTAAGTGCAACAATGTACTAAAAACAGATGATATATCATAACTGAATGAGAGTATCCTGGGAATACAGAGCATTAGGAAGTTAATCAAGGTGATTTATCACATTAACATAAAAAGGAAAAAACAGATAAACATTTCAATTAATGTAAAAGTAGTTGGTAAAGCTTGATGACCATTGGTGATTTTTAAAAAATTCTTAGCAAACTAGGAATAGACAGGAGCTTCATTAATCTGATAAAGATTATCTGCAAAATATCTGTGGCAAACATCATATTTAATAGTGAAATATTGAAAGCTTTTTTTTCCCTTATAGTGGGAGCAATACAGACATACCTGATATCTCCTCTTCTGTTCAGCATTAAACTGGAAGTCCTAGCTGGTGCAATAGCGGAAGAAAAATAAATAAAAGTATAGTAGACAAATGGCCTCCAATGATGTCAACATCCTAATTCTTGGAATCTGTGAATATTGCAAAAGAGACTTAGAAGATGTAATTAAGTTACAGACATTAAGATAAGGCCTGTTGAATGTGCCTATAGGGAAGAATGAATTGTTTCTTCTATCTCTCACCATATATAACACTCACTTCAAGATTGGTATAAGTATCAGATAAACATACAAAATGCAATTATATTTCTATATACTACCAAAAAATAAGGAATAAAAATTTTTAAATATATCATTTACAAAATATATTTTAATTTATTTTTATTAGCATCTAAAATATTATATAACATGCCCTTTCCATGAAAACTAAAACATTATTGAGAAAAATTAAAATGACCTAATTTATACCCTCACTCTTACCATATAGAAGATTAGTAGTTTAAAAATCAGTTGCTTTTTTGTATCCCAGTAGCAACAAATGGAAATTTAAATTTAAAAAAATACCACTCAGAAAAAAATTACAATATTAAATG